ATTCGAACCCGCAACCCTCAGATTGCCGGGCCGGTAAGTGGAGAAAGCTAGTTATATGAAATTGAAATAAATGCGGTTCTGTAAATAAATAATTTATTTTTTACTTTTCATATACTTTTAGGAGAAAGTTTACTTCTATCTACCATTGATAAATATTATTTTCATATTGAAAGATTCGTTGTGTGAAAATTTTCAAATTGTTCAGCACTTTTTCCTAGGGTGGTTCTTTGGTGTTATCCATGTATACTACATACATTAAAATCATCTGTTTCTTGGATACTCCAAAGAATAAATTTCCCCATAATATTATTATCATCCGATATGTTTTTGTTTTTTGTTTCCTTTTTCTTTCACTGTCGTTGACATGAAAACAATTAATGAGTGCAAATTGAGCGATAGTTTCTATTTGTTTTGAAATGTAGAGACAGTGATAAATCTATTTACTTATATGAAGAAAAAAAGACAATGTAATACTTTGTATGTTAGATTAACTTCGTTTACTGGGAGAATAATACTTCGTTAAAAATAAACAGTATCGGTTAGGATATTATACCGGCTGGCTCCAATTATCTCATGTACGCGCAGAGATGCTATTTCACGTTTAAATAAACATGCAATTTTGAATACTACCGGTAAGCTGGAAATGTTATATGTACTTAGACATTAGTTTCAACACATCTGAACTTAAAGCAAGATAATGTGAGGCTTTCATTCGTAAACATTTCATCAGTTTTTTTTCTTTAACAGTTTGAGTACAATTATCTTACAAGGGAATTCCTGATGGAGGCTTTCATTCGTAAACATTTCATCAGTTTTTTTCTTCCCTTGTAAGATAATTGTACTCAAACTGTTAAATTTCTGATGGAGGCTTTCATTCGTAAACATTTCATCAGTTTTTTTTTCTTTAACAGTTTGAGTACAATTATCTTACAAGGGAATTCCTGGTGGAGTTTTAGCTTGACGTGTCTTTCTTTTTATTCTAATGCATTTGCAATTACGAACATCCTTAGAAAGTTTTTAATGTAGAAAATGACATAAAACTAAAATAAAGTACTCTTACTGGTTCATATAACTGAGAAATTAGTTGTATCTGAATGTGAAATTTGCAGACATATGTTGTTTTTTCTTGTAGCAAAGCTGCATTAGGCTATCCACTATGTCCACCGAGGGAAACCGAACCCTTGATTTTATCGTTATAAATCCGAAGACTTATCGCTATCCCACCGGGGGACGCAGGCATATGGAAAATTATTATTTTTCAGCTTATTTTGCTAAAACACATTCTAAGTGAAGCATTCTTATAGCATTAATAAGTTGAATTCCTGTTAGTGAATAATTTATTTATTATATATTCATCTTAATAATTGTCCTGTCAAAATATGTTTGTTGTTGTAAGTTCCCAAACTTTAAGATGTTTTCTTTCAATTATATACTGTAACATTGTACAGGGAGTTTAAAAAAATGAAGAACCAGTTAAATGAATCAAATAACAATATTTTTTTCTTCTTACATCGCCAAATAGTGGGCAGTCAGAACCCTTTCAATAGTATTTAACGCCGTTCTACTAACTTTATAATAAAAATTCCTGTTAATTTCTAAATTTCGACACAGCTTGTGTAATCTTTTCTAATGTTATAATTTAGAAACAGTTTTTGTGACATTGTTCTCATGAAACCATTTTTTTACATAACAGAAGAATATAAATAGGTATTATTTTCACGATAATGTACAAAACCTATATTTGGAACAGTCGACGTACATCGTATTAGGACGAGGTAGTAACAGGCCAATATGCAGAATGTTTGAAAGGGGATTCAAATTTATGAGATCAAAAGCCAAAACATATTGTGCGAAGCACAATAAGCATGCTAATGCTACGGGGGTCTGGGGCATGATCCCCTTTAGAAAATTTGTAAAAAAAAAAAAGTGCTATGAGATTAAATCTGGAAGTAATTTTACATGAAATATAGCTTAAACAATTGTATGGCTGTTCACATAAAATCCACAAACATCCAATGAAAAATCAACAAATCATTCTGTTGTAACACTGCATGTGGAGCTAGACTAAAATTAGCATAAATATGTATGTTTTATTATAATAAAGTACTGTGCTATCTACATACAGAATAGTTATTGATTGTTAAATTATATCACTAATTTAAACAACTGTGTACAACATTAATATATTAGATAACATATACGTACATATATATATACACTACTGAAATAACATGTTAGCATGCTCCATTCTTCTGGTGTGGTTTTCCATAAATAACTTACATACAGTTTCAACGTTGATAGCAGTGTCATAATAATTATGTAATAAAGCTAGAGCACTCAGTCTTTCGGTTTGTGCACACCTCAGGTAATTATTCAACCAGCGGTGAGCAGATGCCGAATGTTCACATGAACATGAACTTAATGGCAGTATGTTTTTACATCACAAAAATAGGGGGTTCCGCCGAACCCCATCGAACTCCCCCCCCCCTTCCTGCGTACTTACGTAAGTATATGATATCAAAGCAGTGAAACAGTATCTTTCTTAGCAGTAACTCTGATGAGACAAAACTATAAGGCTATGTCTATTTTTAAACTCTTCGGAATTAATTGGCTTAACATGAATATCCAATTACAATAGAGAATAACTGGCTGACGCATAGGAAGGCCGCGGAGTAATGACGTGTTAAAGTTAGGAAGGACGTAGGACCCCGGAGTAATGACGTGTTAAAGTTAGGAAGGAAGTAGGATCCCGGAGCAATGACGTATTAAAGTTTTCCCACCCCTTGGCCCATTCGGAAGTGACCCACTCCTTGGACTGGACATCGTCTCAACCGAGAGCTATAAAATTGTTTAGAACAACGGGGTCGATAACTGCGCGAATCTTATTTTTAACAACTGCTTATTAGTGTTGTGTTTGCCACAGATTTTTGTTCACTTCCGCGTTTTTTTTTTTTTTTTGTTGTTGTTGTTTTTGTTTAACGATGCCGCCCTAGGCTTTGTCAGCCTGTGCGGAAATACGTCACAGCCCCTGGGGTGACAAAGAGTGTTAGATCTAAACTCCGATCCCTCTATGTCACTCCATGGGATGTTCTAAGGGAATATGCCAGGTGGGATGGCAATCAGTACAGCGGTTCGCCAGTCATAAGCGGAACAAGCACACACAGACTTTGTCACATATCGGTTTAAATATAACATATCCATTTGTTGTTGTTTCAGGTAGTTATAGCTAAATTTGTTATATCTCAGGTAGTTATAGTTAAATTTGTTATATTTCAGGTAGTTAAGTTTCAGTTGTTGTTTCGGGTAGCTAAATTTCAATTTGTTGTTGTTTCAGGTAGTTGCATTTCAATTTGTTGTTGTTTCAGGTATTTACCTATCAAGTTATTGTTGTTTCTGGTCGTTTCCGACGAAGCCTTTGGTACAGTAACAGATCTAATAAGACCAGTTTGGTGCCAAAACCCTAAATTCTTAGTTGAAACAGTAATTTTAATAGCCTATTGCATTGTTTTTACAATTAAAAAAAAAAAAAGAAATAGGCCGGACGGCACTTAATGGTTAAAGTGCTGATCTGCGGATCGGATGGCCCAGAATTAGAGCCCGTGATGTGCCGCTGATCACAGTAGCCAAATAGGTGACGGGTGCTATACTGGTTACCCTCCCTGTGGTCAGTAGTTATAATTAGGGACGGCTATGTATGAACCTTGGGGTCTCTGACTTGGGCATTTAGCCCGTGTGTCGCGTGAGGTGCCGTTCAGGTTGAAAATACCAAATATTTTCAAAGAAATGACAAATGCACATTACGCTTGGATAATCACAAGCTTTTCTAAATCTGCTGATTTCTTGATAGTACGTTGCACTAGTCTAAAAAAAAGTGGCGTTTATTTCTTTATCATATTTCGTCCTGTATGTGCTAGTCTGTTATTTTAAAAATTCAGCGTATTTTCTGTAAAACAGCTGCTTCAGTTATATGCAACAATATTCCAGGAACTTGGTTAAATAAAGTAAAAAAAATATTAATTATATAGGCTTAAGTGTAATGTTATGACGTAATTACTCTAGAATAAAACAAAACTGTAAGAAAAGATTGAAGACAGTTTAGTTAAATTTATACTATACAGTGTTTTCGCAATAAACACATATAAGGTAATTAGTAATGAAGACTTCACATTCTTAGTTCCTCTTCCATACTTTTAGTGGGAATTTTTGGAAAGATTAAAATGCCTCTTTCCTCCGCCCTTGCTGATAATGTTAATATTATTATCTCGACACTTCCGTTGTTGTAATGGAAGTTAAAACATAATTAAAGGTTTGTAGCATTAAACTATGATATTAGTATTAACAACTAATTAATTTGTATTGAAAATTAAACAGAGTAGTATGCACTTTTCCAGAAGCCCTGATTTGCCAAAGTTCCCCTTGTTCACCCACGTGAATATATTTAGAATATATTATACTATTTTCATTTCACTGCGATGTTTTTATCAACGTTCTTCTCTCTCCTACTCCTTAGCTTTCCTGGGAGTTGGAACACTTGGCTATGCGTGAGAACGAGTTTAAAGAAATTTACCTGGAGCTGAGTAATCAATGTAAGTGCTACTCCTGCGATCTCCTAGACCTCTGTAGGAGCACGGAGGAAGTTATCGCCGTTTTGAATAAGCAGTCTGACTCGGACTCCGAAGACGACGAGGACGAAGAAAACTCAGACAAACTTACCTTAGCTCGTCTAAAGTTAGCACTAAAATATGAACAAAAGCAGGTAGGTTTGTGAAGAGGAAAATGCCTGTAATTGTTAATCAGATTATTGACATACAGGAGATTTCAAACAGTAGGCTATGTTAATATGATTTTGTGACATTTTGGGTTGTTACTAAGGTGGTCGATATGTTCAAGAGATGTTAAACGGTAAACTAACTTAATAGAAGCGTGTGATATGTTATGCTGTTAAACACCAAATAAGTTTAGGAACGAAAAGAATAGATATGACATAACATTAATGTATTGAGTGACAATAAGATTTTCTTTATCAGTTTGTTAAATTTATACACAATTATATTATTATCGCAATAAAATACCTGATAAAGTAACGTGAAAATGTAAGAAAACAATACAAATTCTTCTACATTGTAACAAACTATTATCTTAAAGTTGGTTTTAAAATCTGAACTATTATTTTAACACTTAAGTTTTTAAAACAATCCAGTCTTTATTTTTAATAGGCTAAAATCGTTTTCTTAATACAGGAGAGAAAAGACAAAAGTATAATAACTTATACCATACTTTTTAAAACGAAGATGACAGAATGAAGCCTCCTGGTGGTCACCGGTAAAACTGAGGGCTTATAACGCTAAACTTCGGGTTTCTATACCATAGATGGGCACAGCAGATCTAGCCCATTGTGTAACTTTATGCTTAACAACAAACAAATAGACAACATGAAACGACAGAAGATGTGAATATCTTTGGTCACTAGTAGTTAGTAAAACTTTAAAATGCATTATCAAAATTATATATATTTTATTAGTTAGTTTATTTATTTATTAGTTTTTCTCAAAATTACCAGTTTATAGCGCACCCTAACTGTCAACAACTGCTAACATCCATCTGGTACGAGGGTTTACCTGTTTGGCGACGGTGGAATGGTGTGATGAAGATTTTTATGTGTTTTGGATTGATTACCTGTATGCCCCTGATAGCGCTCTATTACTTGACGTTTCCTATGTCCAAACTAGGTCGTGTCGTCCGATCACCCTTCATGAAATTTATCTATCACAGGTACGTGTTTTTTGTTGTTTTATGGGGTACAATTTTACTTTTTTTTACAAATATGGCCCAACTTAGATGCATCTCACTCTAGTGGATTAAACATCTCATATTTTGTTGCAATTTTGTGAGAGATAAAATCTAATACAATTTCATTATAAATCACATTTTACTCACTAATGTGAGAAGCTTCTAAAAACGCGAGGCCCAGCCTATCGTGTGTCCTGATTGAGTTGAATAAAATCTGGAATTAGACTTATTTTTCAAACATCAGGTAGACGCACAAATTATATTTATAAAATAGCCACGTGATATTTATTTATATTTTTAAAATAGTAGTTATCAGCTGTTTATATCAAAAGGAGTTGATAATAACAAATTCGGAGAAGAAGCATTACCTAATCGATAGCGTGTTGGCCTGCTGATCGAAATGTCCAAAGTTCTAACTGCAATATTCTACCGAATACGCTCAGAAATTTTAAAATAATAATAATAGTCATGATAATCGATTCCGCTATTCGGTTAATAGTAATCATGTGGACGGCGGATGACGCTGACTGGTTGCTCTCACTTTGGACAGTAGTTTTAAATTAATGATATTTATGCCTTAATCGTGCAAGGGATCTCTGATCTGGCCGTTTAGCCCTTGTGTCGCATAAGATACTTTTCAGGTTGAAAATACCAAGTACCATTACCAATCCGAGTTAACTTCTAATGTATTGAAAACACCCTGAATTTGTCTGGTTTACAGATGAATAGAATATACGTATAGTAAAGATTATCTTATTTGAAAATATGTGAAACGTAAAATAATATGGTTTTATCGAGTTTAAAAATTTGCAGAATATAAAAATGGAGTGTTTCTCTGGTTTGCAGATACATGAATTTAAAAAAAAAAAGATTTATGTTGCTTAAAGATTTGTAAAATGTAATATTTTTGTTTAGGATTTTGAGATAGGCGGAGTGTAAATAATAAGGGATCCCGTGGTTTGAATATACGTGGAGTGTAAAAAGAGGGATTCTCTAGTTTGGATATAGGTTAAATATGAAAATATGATTGAAGAAAGGTATAGTGTAAAATGTAAAGGATTCTTTGATCTGAATATATAAATGGCACGTAAAAAGCAAAGGGTTGTTTGGTTTGAATAAGTAAACTATGGGAGCGATGGATTATATGGTTTTGAATCACGCGGTTTGAAGATATGGAATGTAAAAATCGAAAGATTCTCTGATTTGAAGATACGTGTAGCTTGAAAGTAAGGGATTTTCTGGTTTTGAATCACGCGGTTTGAAGATATGGAATGTAAAAATCGAAGGATTCTCTGATTTGAAGATACGTGTAGTTTGAAAGTAAGGGATTATCTGGTTTTGAATCACGCGGTTTGAAGATATGGAATGTAAAAATCGAAGGATTCTCTGATTTGAAGATACGTGTAGTTTGAAAGTAAGGGATTATCTGGTTTTGAATCACGCGGTTTGAAGATATGGAATGTAGAAATCGAAAGATTCTCTGATTTGAAGATACGTGTAGCTTGAAAGTAAGGGATTATCTGGTTTTGAATCACGCGGTTTGAAGATATGGAATGTAAAAATCGAAGGATTCTCTGATTTGAAGATACGTGTAGTTTGAAAGTAAGGGATTATCTGGTTTCAAAATACATGGAATGTGAAAGTACGGAATTCTCTTGTTTGAAGATAGTGAAATTTTAAAAATTGGAATGATTTTCTGGTTTAAAGATAAGGGAAGTGTGTAAGGAATGGATTCTCTGGTTTGAAGATACGTGGAATGGTAAAGTAGGGAATCTTATGGTTTGAATGTACGTGAAATGTTAAAGAATTGAAGCATTCTCTGGTTGAAGATATTGTAATTTCAAAAATTGAAGGATTTTTCTGATTTTAAGATATGTGAAGTATGATAGTAAGGGATTTTCTAGTTTGAAGATACGTGGAATGTAACATGTAAGGGATTCTCTGGTCGGAGTATGCATGAAGTGTATAAGATAAGAATATCGCTGGTGAAAATCTTTCTACTGTGTTCACTATTAAAATAAACTACAACTTTAATGAAAGTTATCTAAAGATTGTAACTTTTAAAGTTTTTACAACAATAATAACGACCGAATTAAAAGAGAGGGTAATGTTTCTCAAGGTTGCCAGTTTTTTTAATAATCCATATTTTTCTCATTCACTTACACGTCGGCCACGTAGTCATGGACGCAAACACAGAACAAAATGGGACTAAAGTATAGGATAGTTTATTACAAAACTTCTTGGAAGTTTATCAAACAAAACGTCCCAGAGGTTAATATGTTATCAATTAATAAACTTACTTTTGTTCAATCAATCATAAATACATGTGTCATAAAGTTTGATGGCAATGTAAACTAGCTATTATTTGCTACTGTTCATCAGTTAAACCTAACACAACAACAACAACTAATGAACATAAGGAAAAGGTTTACCCTATAGTTTCATTGATTGACAGGAGTATATAACTAATAAAATTAGAATCGAATGTGTTTTAACTTGATAATTTTGGCCAGCATGCCTTCCAACAGCTATAGGTAATTCCAATGGGAGGTAACTTCAACCAGCACGTTTTACCTTATAGTTACATTTATCGACAAAAGTATAGAACTAATTAAGTTAGAATCAATATTCAGAGTCCCTTCCATACCGCATTTTTACCTAACACTATTAGCTGTTCTTGCAAGAGAACCATTAGCAGTAACAACAGTGTTAGATAACTTTTTATCCTCTAAATGCGCATGTAATTCATCCACTTACATTTATTCTCCCATCAACCACGTGTTCACCAGTAACCCTGATATTGTGAGTAATGAATATTTACGACTACTAACGAGTAAAGGTCCCAAATTCCGTGAATGTTCAAATATTAATTGGATACACACCATAAGAGTAATCACTAAGTGAATCATACAGTAAGAAAGATCATTTGATTTGGAAACTATGTAAATATAGTTAAAGCATAACCAATAAACGCACAGCGTACTTAAAGAAATTCACTATTCACAATAATGAACATATTATGGGTAAGAGAAAAATTATTGAGCATTTAGATTATTCACATGGTAGATTTATCACCACACCCGCAGACAAACAGCTAACAACATTTAGATTATTCACATGGTAGATATATCACCACACCCGCAGACAAACAGCTTGATAAATCTACCATGTGAATAATCTAAATGTTGTTCCACAACCCGCAGACAAAGAGCTAACAACATTTAGATTATTCAAATGGTAGATATATCACCACACCCGCAAACAAACAGCTAACAACATTTAGATTATTCACATGGTAGATTTATCACCACACCCGCAGACAAACAGCTAACAACTTTGTTTTCATTTAGAAAAAGGTTTGTATTATAATTTAACATAAAGAACTAAAGTTAATTTTAGTCATTTAAACCTTCAGATAAGAAACTTTGTAAACACTTGAAAACCGATACGGAAAGTATCACACTTCAGTTGTATCATATTTTGGTGTACATTTGGTTGAATCAAATAAAGTTATACCTAAATTATTTTGGATTTCCAAATTACATAAAGTACCATATAAATACAGTTTTATTGCAGGGGCGAAAATCGCTAACATTGAGGAATTGTTAATTCTGATAGATAATGGTCTGAAATAAATTAAAGAACGTGTAAAGAAATATTGTTTTATTATCCAAAACAGAACCTGTATTAATCCATTCATTGTGTATCATCTGTAATTGCATTGATTATAAAAACAATTAAAGGCTTTGACGCTAAAACAATATAAACGTTTGATTTCAGTAATATTTACACTAGCCTTCTAATTGATAAAGTTACAATGAGTCATTTAATAATTGGGGTACAATACTAATAAACACAGAACTTTCTATGATAATGCCATTCACTAAATTACCAGTTTTATATTAAATGAATTCTTACAGACCATGTCTTTTTTACTTAATACGGTTGTGCATTTTGGCCAACATGTCTTCCAACACACACGGGGAATTCCAAAGGGAGACAACTTCAGTCCGCAAGTTGTAGACCTGTATTTATTTGGAATAGAATTTTCATACATTATAAACTTCACTAAGGAAAGCTATAGTAAAGCCTTAAACATGAGTCGTGCTTGCAGATAAATAGATGAAATTATAATGCCAAGTTATCCAGGTTTTCCAGACACAGTCGAACAAATTTATCCACCACAGTTCACTCTAGGAAAAAGCTCTTCCACTAACACAAAATACAATATTTGGATTGAGGTATCAGCGTCATTAACGGAACATTCAAGTTTAAGGTTTTAGATAAAAATGGACACTTTCAAATTCGAAGTTCTGACTTTTTCACTCCTTAGTAGGAATATTTCAAACGAGCGATGTGGCAATGCTCATTACTGTCAGCTTATTAGATACAATAAAATTAGCTCATCATTACTCACTCTCATTTTCATAATCGAGGTTTCTTATTGTGTATTTTAAACACGAAATTCGTTCAATTTTATGGGATATTTATGACCTTTTAAAATTTTTCGCGACTACACTTTAATTCTTCGGAATATTGTTTAGAAGAATAGGGAACAGCTTTAGTGTAATGATTACCATTAATTTGAACTCAAGTTGGTTTACGTTACTATTATATATAGTTACAATAATAGCTATATATATAACATGACACTACATTACTTGTTTAGTTACATTATCATTTGATGATTACTGTCTCTGCCACATTCTGAACATGGTATCTTTCCTTTCTGAATACTGTTATTTTTATTGAACTCTCTATTTTCAAGAGGCTTAACATATTTCCTTTTCGATTTTTACAGAAGATTTAATGTAATTTACTACTTTTTGTGTTTGTTATTTTAACTTAAAGTAAGAGTAGTTAAGTTTGTTAGACGCACCACGTATTATATTTAGCATGTTTTTCCATTGTATTACATTTAACATTAGTACATTTTAATGGACAGTTTAGGTACTTTTTATATATTTTTGCATCTTCATAAA